AATTAAAATTATTAAAAATAAATAAATAAATAGTAATTAGTTTACTACGTATTAATTATTATAAACAATCAAACTAAATAAAATTAAATGAATTTAATAAAATAATTAATGGTAATAACTACACTCCTTAACTTCTCTACAAATATCTTCTCATATTTAAATAGTGGCTTAAGTGATGAAGAGAGTTATACTTTAATTTAAAAACCTAAAATTTGAATATTCAATTGATTGTGAAGGCATTTTATTTTTTATATTAAGTGTTTTTAAATCGATTTTTATATATTTTAAAATTAATTCTTTTTAAGAGAATTTAAAGTTACATCCTGAATCAGTTTAATTCATTTAAAAATATTAATTTTTTAAAATATTAATTTTAAAATTGAAATCTTAAACATATTTTACAAGACAACATTTATTTATATTTACGTTTAACCTTTAAATTAGAATTTAAAAGGATTTAAGAAAATTATATCCTCTCTTATATTTATATAATCATGTATAAAAAAAAACTTTCAAATTAATAATTTCTTTAATACACGTTCTATCCCAAAATAATAATTATTTTTTAGGAAAATGATGTGTGCACACCCGGGTGTTGGATCCGGGTGTGCACACATCGTGGTCCTATTTTTTAACTTTGAGTTTTTTTTTAAATTAATTGGTTTTTTATTTTTTGAAGTAGCTAAATATTTTTTTCCTTACTTTAACATTATCATTATCTATTTATTTTGATTAATTATCTTATCATAAAAAGTCTTATTTTATTTTTTAATTCTTTCTTAAAGGTAACATAAGTAAATACATAAATTATTCTTAAATCTTTAATTAAAAAAAATAAAAAATGACAATTATTATAAGATAAAAAAAGTAATTCATTTCCTACCCATATTTTTTAAAAAATTATATATTATAATATCATATAATATTGTAAATTTATAATTATAATGTATCATATATATATATAATACTTACTCCATTCAACTTTAGTAAATCTAATTTTTTTATTTAGAGGGTTCAAATTTAGTTTTTCACCCTTTTTTTTTTTTTTAAGATGTCATTAATACGTTTATTCTTACGAAAAAATCATTGATTCACCCATTAAACTTGTGAAATTTAAGGGCTTAAAGTTTAAGGAAAACCATAGTCAAATTTAGAAAATTGAGGGGTGAATCAATAATTTTTGTCTTATTTTTATTTTATTTTTATTTTTAAATATAATTACAAGATATATTAAATAAAAAAATTAATTATTTATTATTTATTAATTATTATTAATAATCAAACTAAATAAAATAAAATGAGTTTAATAAGATAATTGATGATTATAACAACATTCCTTAACTCCTCTATGAATATCTCCTCGTATCTAAATAGTGGCTCAATTGATGAAGAGAGAGTTATACTCTGATTTGAAAACCTTGAATTTGAATATTCAATTGATTGTGAAGGGATTTTATTTTTTATATTTATAATTAAGTGTTTTTAAATTAATTTTTATATATTTTAAAGTTAATTCTTTTTAAGAGAATTTAAAGACACATCTTGAATTGGTTTAATTCATTTAAAAATATTAATTTTTAAAAATATTAATTTTAAAATTTAAATCTTAAACATATTTTTATGTATATTTAACCTTTAAATTAGAGTTTAAAGGGATTAAAAAAAAAGGGTACTACAGCTATATTCTCTTTTATATTTACATAACCATGTATAAAAAAAATAAAAATCTCTCAAATTAATAATTTCTTTAATACGCTCTCTATTCCAAAAATAATAATTATTTCTTAACTTTCAGTTTGTCTTAAATTAAATTTTTTTAAAATAGATAAATATTTTTTTACTTTAACATTATAATTATCTATTAATTTTGATTAACTATTTTATCATAAAAAAACTTATTTTATTTCTTAATTTACTTTTTAATTTCTTCTTAGAAGTAACATAGGTAAATATTTAAATAATCCCTAAATCTTTAATTTAAAAAATAAAAAGTGATAGTTATTATAAGACAAAAAGAGTAATCCTTTTCCTACCCACATTTGAAAAAAATTATATATTATAATATCACATAATATTGTAAATTTATAATAATAATGTATCATATATAATATTTACTCCATTCAACTTTAATAAATTTAATTTTTTTATTTAGAGGGTTCAAATTTAGTTTTTCACTTTTCACTTTTAATATGTGATTAATACGTTTATTCTTAGGTAAAAATCATTGATTCACCCCTTAAACTTGTGTAATTTAAGGGCTTAAAGTTTAAGGAAAACCATAGTCAAATTTAGAAAATTGAGGGGTGAATCAATAATTTTTGTCTTATTTTTATTTTATTCTTATTTTAAAATATAATTA